GCATAGCATAATATCTAACAAATTTACGCCCTATCCGGAACTTCATGGTTGCAAAGCATCGTATTCTAATAAAATCAAAATTGCTAGCGACTGAAACCAAAGCGAAAAATGAAAAGCTGCTAGAAACTTTACTCGAAGTTAGTGAACTTATTTACTACGCCTTAAAGGGGCAACATTATTTAACTTGCTTTTGCGTGTTGTTTGGTTGATTCAAAATAAAGGCTGTATTGGTAAGGTTTGTCCGCAAGCAAGAGACAAGAACAAATGCCGATTTAAGCTAAAAAATTTGGCTAATTCTTTGAATGCTTGTTACTTTATTGCTAGTATCATCAATTTCTAAAATAATTCCGTTAAATTGACCGTTATCCTCATAAGGAAGCATTTTGCTGGGTAATGCGTCCTTGGCCCGGCGGATGATTGTTTCTGGTTGAGCCCCAATAATCCCTCCGTAAGGTCCTGTCAGGCCTAAATCCGTAATAAAGGCGGTGCCGTTTGGGAGTATTCGTTCATCAGCGGTTTGCACGTGAGTATGGGTTCCCCACAAAGCACTTATTTTTCCGTCAAAATGCCAGGTTAGGGCCATTTTTTCTGCCGTAGCTTCAGCATGAAAATCGACCAAATGAATATCGCAGTCTTGTAAGTCGATTATTTTTTTTAGAGCAAAGTAAGGATTTTCAGCTGCCATAGGCATAAAAGTTGTGCCAATTAAGTTGGTAATACGAATCCTTTTTCCTTGGCAATTAATAAGGACAGTTCCCACACCAGGATGGTAAGGATTGGAGTTCAACGGTCGTAGTAAATCCGGAACCTCTTGAATAAATTTTTGGGTTTCTTCAAGATTAAAAATATGGTTGCCCGAAGTCATAATATTAATCCCGTAATTTTTTAATTCCTGATAATGTTCGTAAGAAATTCCTTTGCCGTGAGTAGTATTTTCAACATTAGCAATAACCAGGTCAAGTTGGTATTTTTTTTGGAGAAGGGGGAGATAATTTTGGATTACTTTCCGTCCGGTGCTACCAAATATATC